ATATGACATAGGTAGGACTAACAATGGGCGAAGCAGCCCGGTCCCTTCGTCAATGACGAGCCCTTGAAAACTAGGGCTTGTACTACATAATGTGGCACGAGAGCGGGGTGGACCCAGCTATCTTTTCCCTTCTTTTCCTTTTTGAGTAAATTATGCTTGGGCCGGTCCGGACAAGACTGTGCTCATGCTGGCCCCATAGGCAGCCGGGCGAGGTCCGATCGTGGCCTAGAGACACGATTGGTTGTGTTGACAACTAGAGAAGGTTGCTTCAAACGCAAGCGCGTAATGAAGGATAAATGACGTATATGAAGTGGTCAAAAGTGATGGGGAAATAGATAAAAAGTTAATGAAGGATAATGTCGTATATGAAGTGGTCAAAAGTGATGGAGAAATAGATAAAAAGTTAACGAACGATAAATGTCGTATATGAAGTGGTCAAAAGCGATGGAGAAATAGATAAAAAGTGTGACTAGGCATGAGCTTTCATCTTACACCTTGCAAGCCTTGAGAAACATAATCTTCATTTGGATAAAGGTTGTTAAGGTTTGAATTCTGAACTCACTATTACAAAGAAGAAGAATTGCATGGTATGCGACACCACGAGTATTGAAAATTGGCCAATGCCCAATTTCAATATAACCCATGAAGCACGTGCCATCCTTTAATATTATATGATAGAAATTTTTGAAGATTATGAACTTGTCTTCGCTAGGTGGCAATGCCATGGCCCTGGTTCGTCCATTGTCCCTATAAGGCTGGCCCAGCCCTAGCTTTATCCCTGGCTTTATTAGGGTCGGTTCTGGCCACGCTGGACCTAAAACAAATGAAGAAATAACCAAAAACTAAAATAAAAAAGAGAGCAGGGCTGCCTGGCTCATTTCCTGCCCATGTATTTAATTTGAGGGCATCATATACATCTTTCTACAAGAATTAGGTTAGAATTGAATTGGTTTGAGAGATAAGGTCCATGAGGAATTTTTAACTACTCACTGACTTAATCAAGCATAACCATAACCCACATGACTTAGGCAACCATCTCTAATGGCTCTATATAATGCCTGCTATTCTTGCGTCTCCATACACCAAGAGTGAGGAGGTGGTCTTATTCTATTTAATTAGCTTAATCCAATTTGATAAGATTTGTAGAAAAATGAAGCTCACAATTGTTTTCCTTACCCTTTCTATGATTGCCTCACTGGGGTTAGCATCCGATCCTAGTCCCTTGCAGGATTTCTGCGTTGCAGACAACTACAGCAAAGGTACTCCTCTCATCAGATACTAATACTACAACAACAATCACAATCTCTTATATTTTACTTTATTTTTAAATTGAAGAAGAATTGAAAGCTTAGTTCACGGCTAAGTCTTGAAGCCTACACTTTTTCGATTACAACATGCTAATCACATTTTTCTCTTTGGTCTCCCATGCAGTGTTTGTGAATGGCAAAGTTTGCAAAGACCCGATGTTGGCGACAGCAAATGACTTCTTCTATGACGGACTCAACAAGCCTGGCAACACAAGCAATCCTTTGGGTTCCATGGTCACCCCAGTGAATGTAATGCAAATTCCTGGGCTCAACACTCTCGGTATCTCCTTGGCACGTATAGACTTCGCTCCTGGTGGCCAAAACCCTCCCCACACCCACCCACGTGGCACCGAGATCCTCACAGTCTTAGAAGGGACCCTCTATGTCGGCTTCGTGACCAGCAATCCTGAAAACCGTTTGATTAGCAAGACACTGAAAAAGGGAGATGTGTTTGTATTTCCTGAGGGCCTCATTCACTTTCAGCAAAATGTGGGGTATGGCAATACTGTTGCCATTGCAGGTTTGAGCAGCCAGAATCCAGGGGTGATTACCATAGCTAACGCTGTGTTTGGAGCCGACCCTCCTATCTCTGATGTTGTCCTTGCAAAGGCCTTCCAAATTGATAAAAAACTGGTTGATAAACTCCAGGCTAGCTTCTGGATGGATACTAACTAAAACATCAACGTCAAGGGGCCCTCATTACTATATGATAGATATTGCCCATGGGAATGAATATATTGAATATAGGGGTATCTTTCATTTGCACCTTCTTTTAAATTTTTGATTTCCTGTGGAGTGTGGATTATAATATTATAATAAAATTGGTCCATGGAATAAAGTATTTCACTTTGGAGACACGTTTGTATTACACCGAATGATCTATATTACACATGCTTTTCGAATAATAAAGATTGTGGTTGTCTATCATAATCTTGCCTAGGTTTGTATTTAAGAGCCCAGGATTGATTTGGGTTTTAAGAGTATGAAAATGGCATAGTTTGGGAAATCTATGATAGGGAGTGTTCGCTTGGGTTTACCATTTGAGTTCCATGGAAATGACTTTTGTTTGGGATCTAAGGACCCGTTTGGGTCCATCTCTATCTATTTGAGAGATTTATGCTAATTCTTTCTAAGTTATCAATATTAAAGAGATTTGTCAGATAGTTAGATTTTAACATTTATACCCGTTTTCTCGAAATGTTTTCCTTTTTCACAAATTGCCTCTACTTTAGACCTTGGAGGTCTCAAGTATATTCCTTTTTGTTTTCCTTATGAATGTACTTTGGAGCTTCAAAGTCTAAAACTGTTTGAAAAGTCGAAAGGTATGAAGTTGGTTTCGATTCACTTAAATCTCTCTCAAATCAAAAACAAATCTTCATGGTCTGATGCTGATTTATGTTAACAAAAACCTACTCTAAACCTTGATGGTCCAACTTTGATCTTTGGAACAACTACGTAAGTTTGTAAGCCAAAAAGAGTTTAAACTCTAGACCTTCGAGGTCCAAAATATGAAAGTCCGAAGTAAGGGTAGTTTGAGGAAAAAAAAAGGAGTTGGAAACTAAATGACTACGAAAGGTAAAAATCAAACTTTTTGAAGACATTTCTCAAAGGACATTAACTTAAATTTCTCCATTTATTTCTATAAACTTTATTTTTTAAATTGTTTTGTGGAAATATGGCCTCTAGGCTGTTTGGCATATGAATTGGCAAAAAAGATACTAACCAACTTCTCGCTCGAAACCTACTTCTACGATAACAGTCACTTCTCTCCCCTCGATTATCTGCAACCCCAGTCACTCTGAGACTCCTGTCTCTAGACTAGCTACTCTCTCTCAACACACTTCATCTCTCGCTCTCTCTCTCCCCATCTCTCCACTTGTCCATCCGTCTCTCAAAGTTCTCTTAAAACCCTATATGCCCACATCCCTTTCTTTCCCTTCTTTGTTAAGGAAGACCCAAATAACTCTTCGGAAAGGTTTCTATACTTTTCCTTCAGTATAGAAGATTTATGCTTCCCCTACCATCCAGCTGTCCAATTTTGATCAAGAGAACCACTCACCATCTTAGATCTGACGTCTCAATGTATTTTATTTTTAATTTTTCTATACAAATTGTATGAATATGAAATTTAGTACGTGCCATATTCACATTGGCGTGCACCTATAAAAAATATTAAAAATATTTATTCGATAAAATAAAATAACCAAAATACCCCTTGAAAATTTCGGGCGTATTTTGGTCATTTTATTTTATTGAAAATATTGTTTTTATATTTTTCGTTAGTGCGAGTTTAATTGAAGATTAGACATACCAAATTTGGTGTAAAAAATACTTTATAAAAAAAATCTAAAATAAAATAGTGTAAAATAGACGGTTGGATAAGGGGAAATAAATAAGTTTTATGTGTTAGTGGAAACATAAAAAGCTTACCCATAACTCTTGAAGACCCTCAATCTCTAATAACTCCCAAAAAACTTGTTGTTTTCATTGGCGTAAGTATTTTTTTCCATAGTTTTCTTTTGTTTTCCTAATAGTTATTTTTTAAAAACTAAAATGCCCTTTCTTATTGTAATGTGTTTTGCATATATCCTTGGCACCAAGTTTTAAAAAGAAAAAGAAAAGTCAAAAAGGAATGTGGGTTATGGGAGAGAGCTATGGTGTTCTAGTCTCTCTTTCTCATTATCAAGGATTTCTACCTCTCTCTCGCTACACTAACAAGGATTCTCATCCTTCTCTCTACAAATTTTCAGAGGTACTTTAGTCACAAAGGAGCACCTAAAAATCGTGCAAGGTGACCCTGAGAGAAGCTACTGCCGAGCCTCGTCATTTACACCATTACCCATCAGTTTTTCTCTCTAACCCATAACCTTTGAGGTGCTTCTTATGTAGGAATCGTTGCTGGCCTTTTCTGCAATTTAATATTCATTTTCATGCTTCTTTGGTAGCTAATTTAGAAGTGATAAATTTCATTTCTTTCGTTTTTTACTTTTCATATTACCAATATAAGTATTAGAAGATTTGTTCCTATCTACCATCTATAAGTATTAGAAGATTTGTTCCTATCTCCACAAATCCCACGAATATTGAGATATTACACAATTCCATAAATTGGAGGATGTTGCTCTTGTAACCTATAAAAACCGTGTAAAGCAATAGAAGAAATCACGTCTTCTTTTTTTTTCTATTTTTCTTTAGCATGGTATCAGAGAAAATCTCTTTCTTTCTCTAAAAGCCTCATGTTTACCATCTCTCTCAGACCATAGGGCAATGGCTCTCTCTCAAACAAAACCCGGCTCTCTCTCTCAAACAACACCAAACCACTCTCCGGGTCTCTCTCTCAAACAAAACCTTCTCCCGGCTCTCTCTCACAAACAAAACAAAACCACTCTCCGGGTCTCTCTCAAACAAAACCCTCTCCTGGTTCTCAGCCGCTTACTTTCTCATCTCTTCTCAGCTAAACCTGTAGGGATTGTCCCTCTGTCTCTCTCTCAAACAAAACCCTCTCTTGGTTCTCAGCCGCTTCCTCTCTCATCTCTTCTCAGCTCTCATCTCTTCTCAGCTAAACCTGTGGGAATTGTCCCTCTGTCTTTCTCCCCTTCTTAGTCCTGGCTCGTCTGTTTTTTTGAAACCATACTTCTACTTGGGCTGGTCGCTGGTTCGATTGTTTTGCCAAATCAAGCTTCTGCTTTGGATTGAGGGTATCGTATTCTTTGAAGCTCCCTACCTTTCTCCTCTCCTCTTCATCACCCACCCAAAAGAAACACTAGTTTCTGATGCAGATCAAAATCTGGCTGCAATTTTAATTTTAGTTTTTGTTAATTTTATTGAGATTGTGTAGATTTTTTATTTATTTTATTAGGATCAATTTTTTATAGGGATTTATTTTTGGTTAATTAGATAAAAGTCTATTTTGTTTAGGACGTACGTTTTTTTTTTATATTTTGAAAGAGTCCATTTTTGCTATATTGGAATTTCTAGTAGATTTGGGTTGGTTGTCATTTCTCGTTAGTTGTCATTCTGGATATTTAATAGGAAGCAATGGTTTAAAAAACGGATGGGTGACCCGGATTGGGCATCCAAAAAACCGATCCGGATCGACGAATCGGCAATTCGGATCGGAAATCGAGTGAATCGGTCAGAATAAAACTTAAAAAAAATCCGAAAAAATTATTAAAATTCATTATAAATATTGTTTTTTAGGAATTCAATAAGAAATAATGGTACTCCATTAAGAATTTTCATGTTTTTGAATGAATATGCGAATATTGATATGTTCTTTCCCTATATGAACCGCTATTCAACATTTAATTTACATCACACAAAAGGATGGACATAGAATTATCATGGAATAAGTATATCAACATACATGGACTACAATAAAGCATAAAATTAGTAACATATGATCTAAAAATAAAATGATAGAGGACATTATTGTTCTTCTTGGTCACGCTGGTGCCATTGATTGAATTCGTTTAACAATTCATTGATTCGATCTAAAAACGAATCATCGATATTAGCAGGCGTCTGACGATTCCCAAATCCCTGAGTGTTAGTGTTTTGTTGTGTTCTCAATCCAAAATCCCCGAAGCTTGTCCATCCTTCATGCTCACCTGCACTGTTATGCTCATCCCTACACTGTTGCTGTTGGGACTCGATATGTGAATAATATAGCTGGGATAGGGTGGCCTTAGAATCATCATCTCTTTCATTTTCTCTTTGAATAATACGGATTAAAAAAAAAATTAACAAATTTTCAAAAAAATCGATCATGGATCAAAAAAAAAAATCACAAATTTTCAAAAAATTCTATCATGGATTACAAAAAATAATTCGATCATGGATTAAAAAGAAAAAATCACAAATTTTCAAAAAATTCTATCATGGATTACAAAAAAATTCGATCATGGATTAAAAAAAAAAATCACAAATTTTTACTAAATTTAATCATGGATTACAAGAAATTCGATCATGGATTACAAAAAATTTGATCATGGATTACATAAAATTCGATCATGGATTACCAAAAAAAAAAAACATAAAAAACAAAAATTCCATCGTGGATTACAAAAAAAGAAAAAAACAATTCAATCATGGACTACAAAAAATTCAATCATGGATTACAAAAAACTCCATCATGGGTTACAAAAAAAACAAAAAACAAAAAATTCGATCATGGATTACAAAAAAAAACAAACATTTTGATCATGGATACAAA